AAAGAAATGATGGGAAGGGATTTGTAAGTTTTTCAGTTCATGTGTATGTTCTGTTGTGAACACAGAGGAATGCTTGATGAACAGAAGACAGATGAGTCAAAGATGTCCAGATCTGTGTTGTTCTTGTGGTTCGGATATCTGAACCCTTTTGCCTCTGCAGCTAGAATATCTAGTGACAGGCAAGTATGAATGCTCCAAAATTCATCCAGATGCATAAAACATCTAAATTGTCACATTTCTCCCTTTATAAATGTAATGAAAATTCCAGATTATCAGGAGATTGAAAGTTGGAACTATTCAATAGTTTGAAGAAATGTTCACAAATTATTTCAGCATTCAGCATATGCTTAATATGTAAAAACTCAACACAACACACACACACACACACACACACACATATCCAATGGGTGCATCTACACATCCAATTAATGGCCGTATCCACATGAGCAGAGACATGCATTTGCAGCCACACAAATAGTAGCGGCACAAATTTGTGCCACTGTTTTGTGACATAGTGCATACCCCTGCCCTGCCCATGGACTTTGCAGTGTGACACATTGTCTCACTGCTCCATATGCAATGTGGGGGGAGGCTGGCTGGGACATAGGGTGCCTCAGGCAAGCAGTGGAGCTATCTGGCAGGAAGCCCCCACACTGAGGCACCCTGTGCCCCCAGCCAGCTGGAGACTGGCATGTGCAGATAGGGGAACAGGCAGTCCAGGGATAGCTGTTCCCCTGCCTCTGTGTGCTTCAGTGTGGGGGCTCTGCTATAGAGCCCCTGAGCTGAGGCACATAGATCCCTTGTCTCAAGGCATCCTGCACCCCAGCAGGATAAAGTAAAGCAGCTGGCTGGAGTGCAGTGTGCCTTGAGACAGGGGAGTAATTAGGGAGGAGCATGTTCTGGGGAGCCAGGGCAGCCTAAAGAGCCTTGAGATGGAGGACCAGTCAGGGAGAAGCAGGGTCTGTCTCCAGGGGAGCAGGCTCTATCTCCATGTGCTGCGGAGCCCCCAGCTGAGGTACTCTGGACCCCAGCCAGCCTTCCTTGCAGCATGTCTTAGCATGGAGGCTTCACGTGCCTCGGTACAAGGGCTCTGCAGTGCAGCCCCCATCTTGAGGCACCCTGCCCCACATCCAGCCACTCCCTAGGTGGCTGAAACACAGCATGCCTCCCCTCTAGAGGCATGCCATGCCCCAGCCAGCTGCTCCATAGATGGCTGGGGCACCAGGTGCCTGAAAACAGGGGCTCCATGTGCCTTGGAATGAGGGCCTCACAGCAGAGCCCCTGCGCTGATGCATGTGGACACAGAGAGCTTCCCCATCTTGAGGCACACTATGATCCAGCCAGCCAAGAAAGCTGGAGGGGGTGCAGGGTGCCTCAGCAGGGGCTCCACAGTGTACAGAGATGGAGGAGCAGGCAGCCCTGGGCTGCTCCCCCATTTCTGCATTTGTCCTGTTGCACGCCATTTTGGTGTGATTTAAGCCACTTTTTTTTATTTGTGGGGGGGCAGGGGCATTGCTACCAGGAAATCCTGCTACCAGGAAATTCTGGTAGCAATTTTTTTCCCGGCACTACAAATTAGCAGTGCCGCACACAGTTTAACATGCTGGATGTGCAGGTTGGGGTGCCACAAAGAGGTTTGCAGTGCCACAAACTGCATGTACCTGCACGTCTGGATCTGGCCAATGTGATGCAATAAACTTAGGAGCAGTTTGAGCCAAAGTAAACTGCTCCTGGGCAGAGAGTCTACATGTGTGCCTGGGACAGAAACAATTTGAGCCAGAGCAGAGCAGGCCCCCAGCTGGCTGGGCTGACCAGGAGCAATTTATGCCCACAGTCAGTGGTTACACATCCATTTCAGTGCAGTAAATTACCCCACCATAAGATAGTACTGTCCCCGACTAGTCCCAGTTACTCTCTTACAGCAAAGTTAATTAGCTTACTGTACCCTAATACTGGTACACGTGTTGACTGTGATGCTTTATTGTAGAGCTAATTAGTCTACTCCACAGAAAAGTACATGTGTAGATGCACAGAGAACAAGGTAGGAACTTGAAATGCTTAGAACTGAGAATAGGAATACTCAAGTGAATAACTGTTCAGTAGGGCTATGCGAAACAGGCCATATTCAATTTGGATTCAGATTCTGCCTGACTCAAGGACAGTGATTCGATTTGTTGATTTGGATCACTGTCCCCAATTCAATTCGGCCAAATCTGAATCTGAAGATTCAATGCTGATTCAGAGAATCAGTGATTTGGCCATAAACACAGCTTTAAATGTTTTTTCTGCATGCCTTGAGGTGCCAGGTGTGGCTCATGAATGCTGTGATGCTGGGGTGGATGGAGCATCCCACAGGAGCGTGGGGAGGCCCCCTGCGTGCTTGGTGGTGAACCCGGAAGTGGACGGGAAGTTCTTCTGGTCTACTTCCGGGTCTGCCAGGGAGCGTACATGGCCACCCCCCCCCCCCCCCCCCCCCCC